GATTGTTATCCTCATCTTCTTCAAAACTTTCAACTCCACCCATTGTCGCAATAAGTGAATCAACTACCAAGTATGCAATGCCGTCCATTTCCTCCCCACTTCCAAAACTCTCCACACCACTAACAATATTCTTTAATTTGTCTAAACTTTCAGGCTTCCCCATGATGGCAGAATCTACTAAATGCAATAACTCCGGAGATACATTTGGCATTGCAGGTTTTGGCCTTGGTTTTGGGGGTGAACCAGCAGGAGAATAACCTGCATCCCCATAAAAAGAAGAATCAAAACTAGTAGACGACATAGATGGCTTGTGACCAAATTTTCTGTCCTGCCCTGGGCTCCAGGCAGACTGATCATGTTGCATTCCATCAACTGCAGAAGAATTTAATTCTGCCGTAAATGTCTGTAAGGTATCTTCAAACTGACCAGATGATAGTCTGGTGGTATCTGAATTTCTGGGGATATCTGAATTTGATGACTGATTTGAGTCCACATGACCACCCTGAGATGCACCAACAATCTTATCTTGATCTTTCAAAGAAACCTGCTCAAATTGGTCTTCATCCACAAACGTAGTTGCAGAATCAACCCCCTGCAAGGTTACGCTATCATGTCCTACATCAGCTACATCACCATCGGTATTTTTCATATTTTCCTGATGAGATGGATCAATATTTTCCTGTACATCACCACCCACTTCATGATTATCTGAATCCTTCCTGGAATTTTTTTCAAATTCCTTCTTCCTCTCCTCTTCTTCTTCCATTATAATACAGCTCTATAAATTATTCATATATACACCGAGTTACCTACAAAATATGGAAATAAATGAGGCATAAATATCATTCCAGTCAACCCTGTGAAACAATTATTCAATATGGAAATAAAGCTAATAATTGGCAGTCAATAACTTTCAAGCTAAAATTTAGTGGGATACCAGTAAATTCAACAAAATTATTCAATATCCACACAAAAGAATAAAATTTGTGGATATTATAATAAATTGAAAACACTTCCCACAGGTAAGATCATACAAAATTAAAAAAAAATGCCTATGTTATCTTCAAAATTCATTCCAAAAAAAAATATTTAAAACAAAACAGCTCTCATCGCACACCACATAGTTGTCTCTAGCTGGAACTCGTATAGAAGAAACAATCTCCATTTGGAACTCTTCTAGCAGTCTATTGCTTAGTGCTCCGAGTTGGGTTCACTTAAAGTAAACCCAATTTCATGGTAGTCCACAAGACATTAGCTACTGACTATTTACTCCAAATTTCCAAGTCCTAATTTCCCTGCACTTTTTGGAAGCCAAAAAAGCGGTTCACAAAGACTACCCTTTTAACTCACGCAGAGAACAGAATTGAAGGTTTCAATCAAAAAAGTAAAGAAACTACAAGGATTTCACGGATCTATCCAAGGAAGGAACCAAAACACTCACATATTCATGCATGCGTATTCATATACATATACATTTACTTATTCCCAACTATTGAAATGGAGATCGATCTCGCTACGCATTGTGGGTTTTACATGAACGCTGCGGATCGATCATGTTCATCAGACTACTGACCTATATTGTGTGTGAGTGTATACCAGCTTGTCGTAGCAAAAGAAAATGCACAGATCAGAATGAAATGGCAATTGATTGATATTGAAAAACACAACACAAGCAGTGATTAAATTCAAAATTAAAATTAAAATTTAGAAAGAAAAAAATGCGTCAACGAGGGAGGAAATTAAATTAAATACCTTGGAAAACAGGATCGGGAAAATGGCGATGAAGTTGCAGCGATTACAGAATCCAGAAAATTGGAAAAGAAAATGAAAAAGGAAAAAATTGCAGAGAAAAGGAGCGAGATGTTTCAGAAAGAGAAGGCGAATTAGGCGCGAGAGAGACGGTGGATTTCGCAGGTAATAGAGTTTGTGTGTGGGTCTGGAGGTCTGGTTGCCTTGCCCAGTCAAAAATCAAAATAATATGACCCAATGGGCTTGCTTTTCCAATTTCTTTCACTTTCTCGGTACAGAAAATATTTTTAAATCGCAAAAAATGAGGAACGGAAAGAAAAATATTTAATCTTTTTGTAAGTATAGGGAAAAGACATACCAAAATAGGAGGATTAATGGGTTTTAGACATAATTAATTTTTTTAACAAAGCCTTAATTAAATTTTAATACCATTCTTTTTCACCATTTGACAGCCGAGGAGAATGTTCACCATTTTTATTTTTTTTTGTTGATGAAGCATATGCATGAAAAATAACACGTGGCATGCAATCAAAAGAAATAATTATTTTAGTGCCATGTCAAATACAATTTAGGTTAAAGCACCATGTGGGATGCAAGGGGTCCAATTGGAGAAAAAAAAACCTCAGTAGACACTTGTTAGTTTATAATTTATTCTTAATGTGTTGTATTTTTTAATACTTAAAAGTACAGGGTTTAACTTTATAGAAAATAACATTGACTTGGAAACAAGAGGTCTTAGTTGCGACTCCAATGACATCTTTCTTTAGACTATCGATTGTACTCAACAAAAATAAAAATGCATCATTGTGTTTTTTTTTTAAAGTATTAAACTTGAATGATTTTTTTCTAAAATGTAAAGTTATAATGGGTCTATATGTAAAAGTCCTTAAAAGTTCTGAGTGTGTGTTTTCCATTTTCTTTTTTTTTCCCATCCCGTATTAATTTTTACAATTTTTTTTTTACAATTAATCAATTTTTAAAATTATTAAAAAGGGCACACTTGAAAATAAATTTTTTATTAAAAAAAATAACAAGAGAAAACCTACAGCTGCCAGGGAAGCCCGTCTTCTATTACAATAAGGGCTGCCGCATCATGGATAAAAGGAGGTACTATAGTTTTGTGGGTAACAACCCAAGAAATTTTGACAAAACAAACAGAAACTAACAAGCCAAATGGATGAGATATTTTTTCATAAGTCATATGTAGCGACAAGAGTAGGAGATTTTTACTTGAAGGAATGGATGTGCGCTGCCCCATGGTAGCCTTCTTTATTTGGTCTGATTTTTAGGGTTAGAGAGAAGAAGAAGAATGGAAAGGGCGTACCAAACAATCAACACACTTACCCAGTATACTATAAAGCTTGGAGATCATAGACATATCCTCCGATCCAAGCTTTGATAGTACGTGGAGATAAATTTACATACCTCAAAGTGACAAGTCATGTGATGAGGGTTGTAGGCTTAGTTGTCTCATTGCTCTGATTCAAGTATGTTTTAAGTCTCGACTAAAGAGAAAAACTTATATATCTCGAAATGACAAGTCACGTGATAAGTGTTGTCAAAACAATTATCTCAATGCGTGATGAATGTTGTAGAAATATATATCTCATCACTGTGTTTTAGGTAAGTGTTACCACACAATAATTACTAAGAGAGGCCAAGCCATCATTACTATATTCTATTTCTTATAGACGCTTTTATCATTACAATTCTAGGTTTTTTGCAATGGAAGTTAGCAACTTCTAATCAAGTATGTGTATAGTGGTCGATATATATTTTGGCATAGGATATTAACAAATTATACATTGCAAATCAAACAATGTAGTCCTATTAGGGAAAGAACCCGCATAGGTGAATATGACACCTAAGAGAGATGTGATTAATAATGTAAATCAAACAAGAAGAGAGAAGGTACAATAACATATACTCAGCTTATAAGCTAATTTGACCGACATAGGAATTATTTAAATAGGCCCATGGAATGGAACCATATCATGCCCAAAATTTGAACAAAGTTTTCTGAATAGACTTTTTGCCCACGGGGTGATGTGGATGGGAGACATTACAGGCATATGATTCACAACTTCTTTGACAAGACAGGGACCTTAAGCTTCTGGCCAGAGTAGTTGCAGTGCCATTCACATATGTAATATTTGTTCCCATGAGTCTTCAAGGTTATTTTGTCATTTCCATTGTCATGGGCACCCTTGTTTGGAGATGCAACACATTGATCATACCCAGAAGTAACATAGAAAGTCTTCCCATCAAGCCAAGCATAGTAATCAACTTCAGAATTCCAGCCATCTGCATCTCCAACAATGTTATTCTTTTGCCAACGCGGTGAAAATGGCGAACGCAATCAGAAGAAGAGAGATGGCTCATGCCATGTTAAGCAAATTAATTCTGGATTGTCCATTTGCATTGATTGCTTGTATTATACATTGTCAGCCTCATAATCCTAATTATAATAGGTTGGTAAGTATGCTTAGCACAACAAGCATATACATATGAAGGTTAAATGGTGCTTTGGTCACACCGTTGTGATGAAAATATACAGTTGGAGGTTCTTGTCATGTTAAATAATGCTATATATGTAATCATAAAAAAAAATTACAAAAAACTCAAAGGAATTTAATTTGGAAACTGATTAAAGCTTCGTTTGGCCCAAGAGAGCCATTTTATTCAGATACAAATTACAACCGTTAAAAGCATCCTACTTGAAAATCTTGTCATAACTTGACCAATTTATGGGTGCGATGTGGAACAGAATGTGAGTTGTAAAGCCACATTCTAGACTATATGCAACATGATAAAAGCACTTGTTGCTCAATTGGTTAAGATGCATTTATCATTTCTGAGATCGGGTGTTCGATTCCCCTTCGGTAATATCCTTTTGGATTAAAAATAAGGTTGCGTGTTGGATTCCCCTTTGGTAATATCACTTTGGATTAAAAGAAAATACATGCGACATGAGTAAACAGAGAAGAGAATCATGCTATCTTTACTTTATTGACAAGAAAAGAGCAAAATTAAAAAAAAACACTATAAGTGACCTCAGACAATAAGGTGGTCAGTCCAACATAGAACTTATTTAATCACACAACACTCATATCGCAACCAAATCTAAACCTCTGCCTTCCCTTTGGACTTTCCAAATCACCTAAAATCTCAAGATTCTCAACCAAGTTTTTCTCAGGGTGGTGCTAATTTGGGTGAAGACACAGGCAGGCATACATGAGGATGAGGGACATCTAGCTTTGTAAGACAGTGACCTTAAGCTTCTGGTCAGTGTAATCGCAGTGCCATTGACATATGTAATAGTTGTCCCCGGGAGAGCTCAATGTTATCCCGTCGTTGCCGCTGTCATAAGAACCCCAGTTTGGAGATGCACTGCATTTATCATACCCGTCAGCGTCAACTACAATCACATTGTGGTCACCTGCATTGTAATTGAAAACTGGGAAACCAAAAACCAAGATGTCAATTATTATAGTTATACTTCCACAAACAAAGAGGAGCAAAATGCTTACTTAGTAAGAACAGAACCAAATCAAGGAAAAAAATTTAAGTTTCAAGAAAAGAAAACGATGATCAATCAATGCAGCAAAGAAGTTCGTACAGCAACCAAGGAATTTTATGATGATTATTTTTCTAGTTGAATGCCGCAAAGAGAAGGCAGCAATTTGTTGCATCTGCACGCTAAGTAATCAGCTAATTACCTAACACATCTCCAACATAGAAAGTTTTGCCATCAAGCCAAGCATAGTAATCGACTCCAGAATTCCAGCCTTCATCATCTCCAACAATATACTCTGTTGCCAAAACCATGCTAGGAAAAACGATAAGCGCAATCACAAGAAGATCGGTGGCTCGTGCCATGTTGTTAAGCTGATATGATCTTGTCCATCCCTTTGAAGCTAGAAATCACTTCTATAGGGCTGGCTTGCATGCTTGGCATAAACAGATATGTGTATAAACATATAGATAGGTTAAATAGTGCTTTGGTCATACCGTTGTGGTGAGAACATGAGAATATACAGTTGGGAGGTTCTTTATCATTGTGTTTATCAATTTTGGCTACAACATTACATGTTTCTGTAACTGTAAAATACAAACTCTTGCTGATTTAGGGCTCGTTTGGGAGTGATTTTCAATAGGCCAGAATCACTTATGGGGAGAATCAGCTTCCATGTGCTTCTCCATATAATCACTTTAAGGGCTCGTTTGTGAGTGCTTTTGGAGGAACAAAAAGCACTTTTGTCTTTTAAAAATGGTGTTTGGCAAAAATTGCAAAAGTGCGTTGGGTGAGATCCAAAAGCACTTGGAGTGATTTCGGAAGAAGCACTTGAGATGTGCTTCTTCTTAAAAGTGCTGCAGGACAAAAACACGAGAAGCACTTGGCTCCCTGTAATGAAACTTTTAAAATACCGAAAATACCCATATTAATTTTTTTTAAATGCCAAAATACACTTTCTTTCTTTTTTTCTCTCTCTCTTTTAAGATTCAGATCAGCATTGCTTGATCAGCTATACCCATCTTCCAAATTCCAATATTTATTATGCCCTCCTCTTTTCTCAGACTTCCTCTTCCCTTAAATCCTTGCCCACCATCGGAGATTCAGCTATGAACTAGATTAGCATTGAACTCCTTGTTATAAATGGGAACAGGTACCAATTAGTTACAAGTGCTGCTGGTGCGGTCAGCCTCTCTTACCTTGTTGACATTCACAATCATATGGTTAACGATTTTGTGTAGAAGATAGGACAACTGGGCTGCCTCCAAAAGTGTTTAGAGTTTATAGTCTCAATATCCTTTATCTCCTTAAGTTTGTAGCTTCTTATCTATGCCAAATTGATTTGCTGTAATTAGCAAATTGAGCATGTAAATGTGCAATCGTTTGTTTATTGGTTTTTTCAAAATTTTGAAGTTGCATGTACTATTAGAAATCTCGGTTTGATTTTTTTAAAGTACTTTTAAAAGTGCTTTTATTGTGTCAGCCAAACACTCAACAAAATATCAAAAGCACTTTTATGTAGTGTAAAAGCACTTTTAAATATGACATCCAAACGACAAACTGCTTCTTTGTAGAAGCGCTACTAGCATAAGCGCTTTGGAAAGAAACACTCCCAAACGAGCCCTAAGTGATTTTAAGTGATTCTGAGCATAAGCACCTCTTATGTGTTTCTTCATAAAATCACTTAAAACCACTTGAGTGATTATTTGGAGAAGTGATTCTCCATAGAAATGCTTTTTGGCCTATCAAGAATCAATCCCAAACAAACCCTTACACACGTGCTTGCAAAAATCGTTATGAGAACCATTTCTTTTGTCATTTTAGCTTGCTGAATTCAGATGCTTAATCTTGGACTAATCACAAGCCGTCCCAGGAAATCGGGAACCCGATCAAAGGTTTGACCCCAGAAATCCATTTTGTTCAAATAAACTTTCCAACAACAGCTAGAAAGCATCCTACTTGGAAATCACGACTTTATCAGTATTTATATATATATCCATCCTGTCCTGTTAAGGAGTATTATTCTGTACTAAGAAATTGCAATTTCAACGATAAGAATAGTTAATTCTAAGATCACACCTGTAATACAAACAGCAGAGATGCTTGATGCTGCAAGAGAATATTTTGTTGAACTTCAGACTTGGCTCCTGGGTTCTGGTGGCAAACATGAGGTATGCAAAGAATACAATATTGTTAAAATTCAGCCAATCATGAGACAAGGTTTGTGACTTAAATAATTCTTGTCTTGTATGCATCTGGATTATCAGGATAATCAAAATTATAATACTAAAAAACTAGCAGCATTCATGATTGTTGTGTGGCCTATTAACACTCATAAAAAACCAAACTGAGCACCATGTTAAGCAGAGTTCACAATGTCATGCAATCATTTTCAGTCTGTAAACCAAACCATGGAATGGGCATTCTGTGGAAATTATCATTGCATCCTAAAAAGGTTCAAATGGGGATGACAATGAGGCGGATCGGGCGTGTGTAACCCATCGGATATACCGGATCTGCCATACTTTTTTCTATTTAATATTTTTCCCTCAATAAAATGATGAGAAATCATAATTTATCACATGTCAGTAAAATGCATCAACACATACTTATATTGCACAACACAACATATAATCCTACAACAATTAACACTACTAAAACAAAAACACAAAATTGCCAAAACGACCTCGTATTTTCACTGCAAAATTAATAGAAGAAAAAGAGTCGGCACCTGTGGACCCCACACTTCACATGGCCCACGACCGGGAAGCACTCGACTCTCTTTCCACACTCCACCGCCTCTTTCCACACTCCACCGCTACATGTGAACCCAAACACGAGTACACCACCGAATTCTTTTTAATAATAATAAAATCGAGTCCACTCTCTAAACACTTCAATTTTCAAAAACCTTTTCAAACGCCAACAAAATCACAGCAAATTACAAACAGCCACCTCATCATCTAGCCCAGCTACTTAAAAGCCTTCAAAGGCAGATCGGAGAGGCCAGACCAGAGCCATCAGATCAGCCATGGCGAATCCGACGGTCACTGTTATTCTCATCGCCATCACCGCCACAGCTGCCGCAGCAGCTGCGCCTCCGGCTACCCAATACACAAACCACACCGTCGGTGGGCCCACCGGCTGGTTCTTCAACGCCACCACCAACTCTTCCTTCGCCAATTACTCCTCTTGGGCTGCCTCCCAGACCTTCAATCTCGGAGATTACCTCAGTGAGCTAATTAACAATCTCAAACCTCAATGTAATATCATATCACATTTTTAATTTAATTAATTTTAATTTTTTATTGTAGTCTTCAACACAAGCACAAACCAGACGGTGATTGAAACCTACAACGAAACCACATACCGTGGCTGCACGCCGGACGACGACGCGTTCGAGTACGGCGGCGGCAGCACTGCGTTCGGGGAGGCGCAGACCATCGCGGTACCGTTGACCCTCGAGGGTCCCGCCTACTACTTCTCCGGAGCCGGCGACGGCGCGCAGTGCCAGCAGGGCATGGCCTTCGCGATCCAAGTCAACAAAGGGCTCGGGTTGCCGCCGATCCTCAACCAACCTCCACCTCCGCCGTACAGTGAGCCTCCGAGTTCTTCGACTCAGTCGCCGCCTGTGACCGTCACCGGAGATCAGACGCCGGGGAATGGAGGAATGAGAAGCGGTGCTAACATCCGCGAGGGGTTATTTGGGATTCTTGCATTGCTGCTGCTGCTTCTTAGGCTATGAGGATAAGATTTGTATTTTGCTTCTTGTTGTATGGTAGTTTTGTAATTTTGATTATTAGGCGAGGGGATTTGAAGATAATTTACAAGAACATCCTTGAGGTTTGTTGTAGCTCTCTCAAAATAAGGTTCAGGATTTGGAAATTACAACATGAAAGATTTTGATTATGATTGTGCGCTTTTCGTCATACAGTACTAGGGGTGAGGAAGGTTCGATTTGGCAATCAATGTAACATCATAGTTTAAATTTGTTTGGTTTAAGTCTCAAACCAATAGCACAAGTGAATCAATTCAATTTATTTGGTGACGGATTTAATTTTAGTTTATTATTAGAAAATAAACAAATATTCTTGATTTTTGTTGTTGTCAAAGTTTGGAAGAGATGAGGTTTTTCTTACACATACACTCGTGTTATGGGGTTTTGAATGCAAGTCAATGTTCTTTTCTACGACCCGAAACAAAAATTCTTTATGAGAATGAATTGAATTCCGTACATTGAACAATTGTTGAGAAATCTTCATACATATGAAAATCGAGAAATTTTAAAAAGGAAGTGACATCAAACTTGAATGGTTTGTTTTTTTTTGGGTTCAGAAAACTTGAATGTCATTCGGCACCACGTCTTGTGACGATGTCTTCAACCAATGGCAGACCTACAGAGGCGCAAGGAGGTGTAGTTTGCACCTCCTCTCGCCGGAAAAAGCCATGGATGTGCTGGATTTGCCCCTTTGCTCTCTAGCGTTTTAAAATGTGTTATCAAGGGGCACCTCATGGAGTGTGACGATCTGAGGCCTCCTGAAATCGCATCAAGGCACCATTCGTATGGCAAGTTACACGATTGAGGCACGCGTTGTGTTGCAGAGGTGTGTCGCTGATGGAGGCTCTGGTTCATGAATGAAGAAGACAACCTAATTTTATTTGTCACAAACGGCGTCATTCTTCATTTATGTTTAATGAAATGCGTGTTTCAATGAAGTGTTTAAAAAAAATAATCAAACTCTTCGGTTTTGGTGCAACCGTTTCAAGATTCATTGTTTGGCTTCAATTACTTGGTTGTTATAATAAATATTTCATTATAATAATAATAATAATGTAATACCAAAAGGCTTACCCACAATGCTCCCAATTTGAAGAAGCCTATCTGTCAAAAAAAATAAATAATAAAAAACAACAACGAAGAAGAGTCCTTGCACAATGCTCTCAAATCACAATTTGATATTAGAGTTTTTGTTAATTAGGATTTGATTGATACTACTTGTTTGTTGATCTAATCTTTTTACTGTGATAATATGTTTTTATTATTAACTTTGTATTTATTTTATTGTGCTAATCAATCTTTAAATTAACTAAGGGTCTGGTTTTCATAGTATGTTTTTTATTGGGAAGTACCAAAATCATTATTGCCCATCTCCTGAAAAATACCTGGATCCGCTATTGTCTTCAACAGTCTACCAATGGGGAATTGGATATGGTGCACTATACGGCTTAGAAAAGACTAAGGAGTAATTCGATCAATACATTAAAAATTACAAGTCCCCAACTAAGAAGTACCTTCTTACTTAAAAACTTGGGGGGACTCTTATTTATACCATATCAAACCAAGCAACTAAAAGCAACTCTAAAATTGACCATGAAGTACCTCCTTCAACTCTCCCACCAATTTCTCCTTCATTTGGTACAAAATTGACCATAAAGCAAAATAGCACAATTGTTCATCATTAAGCACAAATCAGTCATATTTGTGCTGTTTTCAAGAAAGCCACACGATAGTCGTGTCATATTTTGGATTATGATAGAGAAGAGATTGTGCTCTTATACTTATTCTATTTGTGCCTTTGTTAGAGCAAGCTAATAATTTATGCAGTGCATCAAGTTTTGTTTTGCCGAGAAGATCCATCATATCAAATATTCTGAAGCATAATTCTTTCTTTCACGTAGGTTTCAAACAAATTCCCAAAATCATTATAGTGTCCAGCAATTTGAAACGCGATGGCTTCTATATCAGTTCCCATCTTAGTCCCAAATAGATTCCCAAAACCATTACAGTGTCCAGCAAACAAACCAATTCAATCAAAATGACCAGCAGGTCTTGTTAGAAACTGAATAATCCAAACATCAGATAACATATAGAGGATCCAGTATCATAGTTTCCATCTCACTTTTGGAAGAATTAAGCCAAAATTATAATAAATATAAATTAAAATAAGCGGAAGTCAACAAAGACAAATTCAAATGTCTCAAACTAAGTTATAGGAAATAGGAAATTTTTTATTCTAGGTGGTGGCTATCCAAGGCTTTTAAATTTTCGTATTTCACAATTCTTGATATTCGATTCGTAGATCATTGGCTTCTTCAAGTTGATTCATAATAGTCCAATGGATTCATAATCCTCGCACTCACTGAGTCATAAGAATGAGAAACCTTGTTATATACAAAATGCACCAAAATTCCTAGGTACAAATTAAATGTTATTGATAAAAACACAAGAAACGTGAAGGAAACTTATGGTGTGAAGCAAAAAACAAGATCAAACCATTCATAGCACTTGATATCCACAAAATGAACAAATGAATATATGATCTTGATCATATGCTTTCCTCCTTTTCCATGAACAATTTCAAACGTGGTGATGCTAAGATATTGAATCTTGGGATGTGAATCGCACCAGCCAATCTGGACATAGAAAAAGTCATGGTTTCCCAAATGAACCAAATAGTGTGTCATATCATTAAGCCATGGCAGCAGTGGACGCGCGATATCAAGGCCTTGCACTACAAACAGTTGCCTTAGGGAATATGAAATACCATTAACATCACATTGTTCCCTCACAAAGGAGAATGCCTTAATCTTTGCATCCTCATATAAGGCATAGATAGTCTCGTTTACAACCATGACCCTTCCTTCAAAAAGAGGAGCACAATGAGCAGAAGTGTCAATTTTTACTCGATTCCAATCCCCTCTACCCACGTGAAAAGCAACAACACTGAAACTCTCGTCCCTCAAGCCAGACAGTGAAAACAAAATAACTCCATAACAAACGGCATAACCAGTCATTTGCATAGTGATGTCATAATCATCATAAAATGAAAAAGAAGTCATTTGTTCCCAAACCTTATGATCAGGATTATATCTCCCGAAGGAGTGTCCTGTAACTGGTGAGAAGGGTGACGAACATGCAAAATAATAAACCTTCCCATATGCACATACAATATTTTCTAGTAAGTTAGAGGATGGGATAGGAGGAATAGATGAACATTTTGACCAACTCCTCGTGTCAACAATAAATCCACCATCTTGTACAATGCAGTATAATTTGGAGTGGTTGAAAATCCGTGCAGCGTCAACGCAAAAACCCTCGTGGAACTTGGCAACTTGTCTGACTTCTGGGGGTTCATGAGTGACTTCTCCTCTGTGTTTGAATTTCACTTCATAGACTGTATTAGTGCATTCTCTGCCCTCACAAGAAGACACAAATAAACATACAGATCTATCTTCCTCTTGATTTACCGTCATTGATGTTTGCTCCCAATCCTCGGGCAAGCTGAGAGAAAAGAGATGTATAGAACACGTCTAGTTAATCATTTTTCAAAGAGCTACCCAGCCTGGAGAGAATATATCTAGTATATTTTTTTTATTGGGTCAAAATATCTAGTAGAAACTGGTTATTATATATTTCAAGCAAATGATTCAAAATGCACGCAGCAGGGAGAGAAACTAAACAAAAAAGAAAAACAACATCAACAATAAGAATTCAGAACTGACCCAAAGCGCTTTTGCAATTTTTGCCAAACACCATTTTTAAAAGACAAAAGCGTTTTCACCTATTTAGAAGCGCTTTTCATTGTTCCAAAAACACTCCCAAACGAGCCCTTAGTTTCCTCATACAGTACTAGAGATGAGCAAGGTTGGGTTTGGTAATCAATGTAACATCATAGTTTAAATTTGTTTGGTTTAAGTCTCAAACTAACAGCATAAGTGAATCAATTCAATCTATTTGGTGACAGATTTAATTTTAGTTTGGTTATATTATTTTATGTTATTAGAAAATAAACAAATATTCTTGATTTTTGTTGTTATCAAAGTTAGGAAGGGGGAATGGATTTTTTCTCACATACGCTGGTGTTGTAGGGTTTCGAATGCAACTCAATGCCCTTTTCTACTGAGGTAGACTCCGTTGGCAAACAAATATTCTTGATGAGAATGAAGTGACTTCCGTACATTGAACAATTATTGAGAAATCTTTGTACATATGAAAATAGAGAAATTTAAAGAAAGAGGTGACCTCAAACTTGGATGGCTTATGAATTATAAATTCGGCATTAAATATGTGATCCAAAGGGTGAAATGAAACATAATAATATATTGTGATAACCAATAAGAAAACAAAAGTGTCGAAAATACAATAAAATTAATATATGCAATTTTGGTTCGATTATGTAACTTTTAAATAGGCATATGAACTGAATCATCAGTGTAAGATTATACATTTTTAGTATAAAAACCAAACCACACAGCTCAAATTGGTTTAGTATAACATACTCTTGATATAAAACAATTAAAGACAAAACTTTTAAAGTAAAGTCAAATAACTTGGGAAAATATGAAAAATGAAAGAACAAATCGAATCACTGCACTAGCACTACACTAACCCGTGACTATTCAGATTAGTGGCACTAATTTTCATTTCGTTGAAGAATGTAATGAGTTCAAATCTCCTAAACAAAAATAGTTAAATTAAATGTACCACTTCTTTACACATGTCAACGAATATTTAAAAAAAAACATAAAATGGGTCTATTCACGTCTCTTTCTATCTTTATCATCATGTCACACTTTCCCTCAAGCTCGCTAATTACATGCCATCACTATAACTCATGATGGGCAATATTAGAATTACGCCAGTACTTAAAATAAAGTTCCTTCGTTGTTTTTCTTTTACATTTATATATGTCACAAAGTGCCAAAGATTCGTCTTCCGTCGTATGCGGGGACGGACCCAGAAAT